GTATGATGTTGGCTTTGGATTGATACATAGAGCATTTGCAATGGCAGCACAAGTTCCTTTCATTGGTAGTTTTTTCAGTGTTTTTTTTTACAAGAATGGACACTGAACATTGTTGAAGGGTTTTTCTGAATTCACTAAGATGGTCATGTGATGTTTGTCTTTAATTCTATTTATGTATATATTACATTTATTGATTTTCATATATTGAGCCAAACTTTCATTTCTGGGTGAAACACACTTGATCATAGTGTACAATTTTCTTAATATGTTTTTTTAAACTAATTTTATTTTTTTACACAAATGGAGCACAACTTTTCATTTCTCTGGTTGTACATACGTAGAGTCATACCATTCATGCAATCCATACCCATATATAGGAATAATAATGTCCATGTCATTATATCACCTTCCCCCACTTCTTAATGTGTTTTTGAATGTATATTGATAATATTTTATTAAGGATTTTTACATCTATGTTCATCAGGCATACTGATATATAGTTTTGTTTCCTTGATGTGTCTTCATTTGCTTTGGTATCAGGATGATACTAGCTTCATAGAATAAGAACACATTTCATAGAAAGTATTCTTGTCATTAGGTGATATATGACTCTAATATATATTTGATGTAGAAAATTTATAAAATGTTGACAAGGATCAATCACAAGTTAAAAATAATCCATATGCCTAGACCAGAAAAATTCTGTTGCATTTCCTTCTATCCTGTTCTCCTCCTCCTCCTACAGCCTAAATGCTGCATATTTCTCTTCCTTTCCCTCTCATTCCCTCAGATGATGAATACAGAGTTTAGTGGCCCCCAGTACTGCTCTCTGCAAATGCCATTTCCCAGGTCAGTTGGCTCTCTGGTTTCCTGAGTGGGCAATTTCTAACTTTCTCCTCCCTTCTTACACCCCAGTACTAACTCCCCACTCCTCACTCCTAGAAGACAAAATTCTTTCTCTTTTCACTTGGACAAAAAAATAGGACTCAGGTAAGAACTGCACCATAATCCCATCAGAGGCCCCACAGCCAAAACTGTCTCCCCCGTCTTCCCACCAGTGATGATGGATGATCTGTTGCTGTCTGAGGCCACCTCCACACCTGGGAATAATAAGACTGGCCCCTCCATCCCCTGTATCATCGCATTCTACTCTCTGTGGCTTGTTCATTTCTGCATTCAATCATACTGCAATATTTCCCTCTAAAACAACACAAGTTAACTCAGTAAATAAAACAAAATCCCTTCTTACAAATTCACCACCTGATCCTTTGTCTCCTTTCCATGACTGCCCCAAATCTCTGATATACCTTATAGAGTGATGTCTGAGTCCTTTTTCTCATGTTGTCTTTTTAAACATTGCATTTTATTTTTCGAGTGGAACCAGAGACAGCATTTGAAAGGACAAATGCTTCTACAAGACTCAGTAAAAAAGACAAATGGCCCCAATCTTCCATGCAGCCCCATTTCCTGATCCCTGCTTTACTTCTTTTGCCTGATACTTTTATTATTACCTCTGTGCCACTAAATAGAAGGCTGATAGGGCTCCTTCTTGGTTTTTCAGTTTCATGTTGTACTTTTAGTTGAAAGCTTCCCTGCACATGCCCCTATTCTCTCACTAGCCAATTTATAATTTTGATTAGATCAATGTTGTTTACATTATACTGACTATGCAAATGTTATTCACAACTAGGCTTGTAACTTTCATCACTTTGTTTTCTTGAACTTATTTGTAACTTCCCTGGAATTAATAAAATTATTCTTCCTTCTTTTGCTTAGTTTCTGTTGTTCTGTTATTCTGGAACTTTCCCAAACTTTCTCCTAGGGTCTCTGCTGTGGTTTGAATGTGTGTCCCAAAGTTCACGTGTTACAAACTTGATCTTCAATGTGGTGGTGTGGGGAGATGGAATTAATGGGAGGTGGGTGAGTCATGAGGGTCCTGTTCTCATAAATAGATCAGTACTGTTATCTTGGGAGTGGGTTGCCCCCTCCTGCCCTTAACCTTCCACCACAAGAGGAAACAGCAGAAGGGTCCTAGACAGATGTCAGTGCCTTGACCCTGGACTTCCCAACCTTAATAATGGTGAAGAAATACATGCCTGATCTTCATAATTTACTCAATATGTGGTATTCCGTTAGAGCTGTAAAACAGACAAAGGCAGTCTCCTTGAGTATATTCAAGCATATCCAGAATTCCACCATCTTGGTCTTTGTGAAGACACCTGTCCCAGAACTCTCAGTCCTGCCAGACCTGGACTGGATGCCTTCACAACTGGAGTAAGGCTGACTCCCTGGATCTGCTTCACCTCATGGGGGAACACAGCCTCCCTGTCTTGTGCTGGCTCCTCTCTTAGGTACATCTCATGTGTCCCCTTTTCTTGGTTTTCTCCATCATTTTTGTTTCTCATATATTTAGCCATATCCTATGGGAACATGAACAGAAAATACTGAAGCCCTAAACATCTGAAATGTCTTTAGGATACTATAGCTCTTAGTCTAACTTTAACTTAGTACAGAATTCTGTGTTGAAAATATTTTTATTTGGAGTATGCATGATATTGTTTCAACATTATCTAGCTTCTAAAGTTGTATTTCCTGCATCTTGAAATGTTCAGAGTCTCTTTTTTTCTACCTACTTTCTGGATCTGTTTTCATTTGTTTGGGAGCAATTCACATGTAATTTTGGAGTGCTGAAAAGGCTGAGATTTTTCTTGAGATATTAAAATAAGTTCATATTCTCAATTATTTTTGGAATTCCTCTGATTCAATTGCTTGAAATCCTTTATTAATAACTTTGTGCTTTTAGAGTTCTTCTGTCTTGCTTACCATTACTTTTCCAGTGTTACTACTTCTTTTCTAGTGTTACTTTAATTGTCCAAATAATCTATAGAATTTTTCATTTATATGATCACTTTTAATATGTAAGAACTATTTTTTTCTTTCTGTATATAATTGTGCATAATTACTTGTTCACTAATACCCATTCTTTTTTACACGTTTTAGCAATTATTGAGAACAGTAGCAGAGGATCAAGCAAAGAAGTTGAGACCAGGGCTGGGGTTATGGCTCAGTAGTATAGCGCTTGCCTAGCATGTGTGAGGCACTGGGTTTGATTCTCAGCACCACATAAAAATAAATAAAATTAATTTAAAAAAAAAAAGAAGTTGAGACCAATTGGGAGCTCTCTACTGTTGTCTCAGAGCAGCAGTTCTCAAACTGTGATCTATGGAACCCTTGAAGGTGCTCAGAGTATTGCACAAGATCTCTATGATCAAAAAACATTTTTATTATCTCACTAAAATATTATTTATGGGCCTGGGTATACAGCTCAGTTGGCAGAGCGCTTGCCTGGCATGCACAAGGCCCTGGGTTGAATCCCCAGCACCACAAAAAAAAAAAAAAATTATTTACACTAAAGTAAACCTTGGCAAGAGTGAAGCTATGGTACCAAACTGCAAAACTATTTATTGTTTTCTTGAGCACCTTTTAACTACAGAAGAAAAAAGAATGCCAGTTCACTTAAACATGTCCTGGTTAAAGTATTAAAAATTATTTACTTTATTAAATCTCCATTCCAGAATCCACATTATAAAAACACCTAATTGATAAAATGGGAAGTACACATAAGATACTTCTGGTACATTTGAAAGTAGGGTGTTTGTATCAACCAAAGCCATTTGGTGAGTTGTACCAGCCCCATTATTTGGAATACGATTCCTCCTTAAAACAATGAATGACACAAAAACTATTCTTTAGACTTCAGTATTTGGCCAACATTCTAAAAAATGAACTGAGCCTGTCCCTTCCAGATAATCCACAGACAGCAATATTTTCAATGATAAAATATATGCTCTCAAGAGAAATTCAGAATCTGGGAGTACTTGAATTCACCACTATCAACTTGACAGACTCCCAAGTACCTACATCACTTTCTGGTGAAATCTGTGGGAATACCAACATATGACCTCTTGATTATTTGCACTTAAATATGTTAACACTAGAAGGTCTATACAACTTGACCCAACAATGCATGACTTTAAAAAACATCATGCATTAGTGCAAGATCCATTCAATGTGCAAGACTCACCCACAGACTTTAATACAAGAAAATATGAAATATTCAATGATAATGTTTCAGGGTCCAAATGGCAAAGAATCTTTAAGCTAACACTTATGTCATTTTAGTGTAATATCAAAGATGAACAACCACGGTTATTGAAAACAGACAGCAATATTTTCAATAATAAAATATATGCTCTCAAGAGAAATTCAGAATCTGGGAGAACTTGAATCCACCACTATCAACTTCTGAATTTCCCTTGAGAGCATATATTTTATCATTGAAAATATTCCTCCTACATATTTGTATGAGGCTGCATTTTTTGTTTCAACAAAAATCACAGGTAAAATACAGAAGATACAAATATCTACCAGTTTTCTAATGACAAAAAAAAATAAATTTCAAAACTGTAAAAAGTAAAATGATCCAGTCTTCCTAGTAAATCTTTTTATTTTGGAAACTATTTTTTTCTGTTAATTTAAAATATCTTTAAATTGGAATTAATTTCTAAAACAGCAAATATTGGTAGACATAATCCACATAAACATGATTACCTCTGGAATGCACACGTCTTTCTAAGAGCCTATGAAGACCTTGGAACCAAACATTTGAGAACTGTGTATTTACGCCCTGAGGCAGAAATCAAAGGGACACTGTGACAAAGAACAATTGGTACAGAAGTGCGTTCAGGGCAAAGTCCAGGTGGGTGTGGCTCTCAGGATCTAGAGCGGTGTCTGGGGTGTGGACGCAGACCAAAGATTGATTCCCCGTCTCCTTGGAGTTTGACTTCTTGCTCTCCCAACTTGAGTCAGGTTATTCTGCCTGGACACCGTTCTCACCCCCTTTGCGTGTCTTGCTCCTGGAGAAGGCAACCTGCATAGCCGCGATTCGGTTTTAAAGTCCCCCATCCAGCAGCCGGGAGGCAGAGTTTCCAAACTGCAGGATGGGGGAGGTAGTGCTCCTAAAGCTGCTTCTTCTGCTCTCGGGGGCCTTGGTAGGGACCGAGACCTGGGCGAGTGAGTGCGGGGGTGGGGGAGGGAGATGGGTGCGGGGCAAAGGGGGAAGGAAATGGCCTCTGCGCGGGAGCAGCCTGAGGACCCTCCAGAGAGCGAGCAGGAGCTGGGGAAACTGCGTCCCCACTACTCCCAGCCCAGACCTTCCCCGCCGTAGTGAGGCACGTCCTGACCCTCCACTCCCGCCCCTAAGTCCTGCCCTGCCGCATCACACCACCCCCTTTGCGTCTTTCGAGCTCGCTCCTCTTCTCCAGGTGTTGTCAACCTGGGACCTGGGTCGGGCGCCTGGAGGAAGGTGGACCGGGTCTCAGCCGCTCTCGCCTCCAGGCTCCCACTCCTTGAGGTATACGGAAACCCTCGAGTCCCGGCCCGGCCTCCGGGAGTCCCGCTTCATCTCCGTGGGCTACGTGGACGACACCCAGTTCATGCGCTTCGACAGCGACGCGAAGAATCCCAGACAGGAGCCGCGGGCGCCGTGGATGGGGCTGGAGGGTCCGGAGTATTGGGAGCAAAACACACGGATTTCCGAGAACTCTGCACAGAATCACCGAATGTGCTTGAACACCCTGCGCGGCTACTACAACCAGAGCGACAGCGGTGAGTGACCCGGGGCCCTTAACGGATATCACACCCCTCCTGTCCCTCGAGGCTGGTTCCGAGTCGTCAATGATTCCGTCGTCCGAGGTTACCCCCAAGTCTGAGGGACCGGAAGACCATCAACCGAGAAAGCTCCCGGGGACTGTGACTTGATTTCGTTTTCAGTTTAGGGGGAAAATCCCACGGGGTGGGCGGGGCGGGGACGCGGCTGACGGCGGGGCGGGGACGGGTTCTCACACACTCCAGAGGGTATATGGCTGCGAGGTGGGGACAGAGGGGCGCCTCCTCCGAGGGTTCCTTCAGTACGCCTACGACGGCGCGGATTACATCACCCTGAATGACGACCTGCGCTCCTGGACCGCTGCAGATGCTGCGGCTCAGATCACCCAGCAAAAGTGGGAGGCCACAGGTGCTGCAGAGCGCCGCAGGGCCTACCTGGAGGGCACCTGTGTGGAGTGGCTCCTCAGATATCTGGAGAACGGGAAGGACAGTCTGCAGCGCTTAGGTATGAGGGGCAGTGGGTTACCTGCGTGAGCTCCTGCAGATCTGTTGGCCCACTTCCCACAAGGTGGGGAAAATGGCACCCATGCTAGAACACTTCCCAGCTCCTCCTCCAGAGGGAGGTGAGTGGGCTTGGATTCCCAGGTGCTGCACTACAGAGGAACTGAAGGTGGCTTTCTCTGAGGACAAATAAGGAATCCAGTCTCTCTCTCCCTGGCTGGTGAGAAAGACAGCAAATAACTGACCACAGTTCTCTGGTAGCAGTCTTGCCACCAAGGACAGACTGTCAGGTCCACTCCAGCCTAGTGTCCTTGAAGGTCTGACTCCAACTTTTCCACATCTCTGAGCAACATCCAGATCAGAATACGAATTGTTTCTCAGGGACCTGTAGCCTCTACAGGGACCTGTTTCAACCTGATTCTAGAACTTTCTAGAACTAGTTGCAAGGAATAGGCGATTATGCCAGAAGCCTGAATCCAGACTTGTGTATAGGTTTTGTGCTCCCTCCCCCACCCAATTGTGTCCTCCATTCTCTGGCTGATGGCCCAGGAGAGATAATGCAAAAATGTCTGAATTTCCCTATTCTTCTCAGACCCCCCCAAAGACACATGTGACTCACCACACAGCTCTGAAGGAGACATCACTCCCAGGTGCTGGGCGATGGGCTTCTACCCTAAGGAGATCACCCTGACTTGGCAGCGGGAGGGAGAGGACCAGACCCAGGACATGGAACTGGTGGAGACCAGACCTGCAGGGGATGGAAACTTCCAGAAATGGGCAGCTGTGGTGGTGCCTGCTGGAGAGGAGCAGAGATACACCTGCCATGTGCACCACGAGGGGCTGCCTGAGCCCCTCACCCTGAGATGGGGTAAGGAGGGGATGAGGGCCCAGAGCCTGTTGTCAGGAAAGCAAGAGGCTTTCTGGAGACCCTCAGCAGGGTCAGGGCTGAGAGCTGGGGATCAGGGCTCCTCAACTGACTTCCCTTCCTCTCCCAGAGCCATCCCCTCAGGCCACCATCCCCATCATGGGAATTGTTGCTGTTGTAATTGTCCTTGTTGTCACTGGAGCTGTGGTCGCTTTTGTCATGTGGAAGAAGAAAAACACAGGTAGGGAAAGTGCAGGGTCTGAATTTTTGTCCCACTGGTGGTTTCAAGTACCTAGTATAAGTGTGTCCTGCCTTGTTCATGGGAAGTAATATCTACCTGTGTCATTTCCCAAATTGGACCCTGTTTACTTTTTGTAAAGCATATAGAAACTGAAGGATAAATATATCCTCTTGATGTTTGTGGTGACGGGGACCTGATATCCAGCATTTAGAGGACAGAGAGGAATTTCTTTGCTGAGGACAGAACTCAGAAGAGTAATTAGCTCCATCCCTACCCATATATTTTCTTCTTGTCTCCTGATCCTTTCCTACATTTGCAATCACAGTTCTGGAGACTTCCCCAGTGTCCAGGACGAGGGGGTACCTCTAAAACCTGTTTCCAACCTGCTCTCTCACAGTATGTTTTCTTCCCACAGGAGTTAAAAAAGGGCCCTATGCTCCAGCTGCCTGTAAGTATGAAGAACAGTGATCCCTGAGGCTCATGGGTTAGTGTAGTGGGAAGCGATGCGGAGCTGATTCATCCAATAATTCCTCCATTTGCCACATCTCCTGTGGGGTCTGACCAGGTTCTGTTTTTGTTCTGCTCAGGTAATGACAGTGTCCAGGGCTCTGATGTGTCTCTTTCTGCTTAAAAAGGTGAAGCCCTGGAGGGCCAGAAGATGGAGAGGGGTTGAGGAAGGAGGAGACTTTTGAGTTACAGGGATTTGTGACATTTTGGGTCTTTAATGGGTTGTTCAGAGTGTCTCCATTACAATGAGTGATCTGAATCTGTTCATGATACTTTTTTTTCACAGTTTGAGACAGCTGCCTTCTGTGGGGCTGAGCAGTACAGGATTTCTTCAGTTCTCTTCCTGCTCCCTTCTGAAATCTTAAGAAGTCCCAACTACTCTTTGTGCAGCTGGCATCTAATTGTGTCTTTGTGTCTGTGTTCCTATAATCATAATGTGAGGAAATGGAGAGAGGAGCACATCCCTGGTAACCAGGACACCTCCCCACACTGTCATGTTCTCTTCCTCAATCAACTTTCCTCTGTAGCTGATGTGGGGCTGAGATGTCTTCATTCCTGATTTAGCTTTATGTTGCTCTGAACTGTAGCGTCTTTCTTCCCTTTTGGAAAATCGAATGTGGATATTGATTATATTTCAAATTTGTGCCACAAAATATGTTGATGGGTTAATTAAATGAGAAGAGGATTCCTAAAATTTCTGAGAGAAAATAAAACCTGAAACCTTCCAGAATACACGTGTTTGCTGTGCTGAGTCTGCTGCAGGTGGGGACAGGAGAAGGATGAAAGGAGCTCCAGCAGGTGGACAAGCTGGCACCTAGTCTGTGCTCAGTCCATCCTGGGCCTTTGTGGTCACTCTCAGCTGGATCAGTTTTACTGCTCCTTAGTCCTTGTCCATTCAGTTGAACCTCATCCCAACAGGACTTCTGATAACAGGTAGCATCAACCAGGGCTGGTCCTATCTCCAGTACCATGGGTAAGAGGGCATCAGGCCACTGGGTTAACATAGGATGAGACCTGAGTCTGACCTTCTGATGTCACTCTGAGATGCTGGGCCCTGGACTTCTACCCTAAGGAGATCAACTTGGCAGCGAGATGGAGAGGACCAGACCCAGGACATGGAACTTGTGGAGACCAGGCCTGCAGGGGATGGAAACTTTACCCTCTTGGTTTTTTCTGATGATTGGGACCTGATTCCTAGCATTTAAAGGCAAGAGAGGAATTTCCTTGCCAAGGACAGATCTGCAGGAGAGCAATTGGTTCAATCCCTACACATCTCCTTTCCTGATCCTTCCCTACATCTGCAGTCACAGTTATGGACACTTCTCTGGAGTCTAGGACTAGGGGATTCCTCTAAGATGAGTCTTCAGCCTGTTCCTTCACAGTACGTTTTCTTCCCACAGGAGATATAAAAAGAATAAATAAAAATAATCTATGTTCCAGCTGCCTGTAAGTATGAAGAACAGTGATCCCTGAGACCTTGGGGTAGTGTAGAGGTAAATGAGGGGGGAGCTGATCCATCCCATAATTCCTCCATTAGCCCATGTCCTATGGGCTCTGACCGGGTTCTATTTTTGTTCTGCTCAGGTAGTGACAGTGCCCAGATCTCTGAAATGCCTCTTACTGCTCAAAAAGGTGAGACCCTGGAGAGCCTGAAGAGACAGAGGTTGGGGAATTGGGAGATTCCTGGGTTACAGGGACTCTCTGGGGAATTTTTGACATTTTGAGTGTTTAGTGGGTTGTTCAGAGGGTCTCCATTACAATGAGTGATCTGAATCCGTTCATGATACCTTCTTTTACAGTGTGAGCTGCCTTCTGTGGGACTGATTTCTTCAGTTTATTCCTGGCCCCTACTGCTCAAGAGGTCCCCACTTCTCTTTGTGTAGCTGGCATCTAATTGTGTCTATGTGTCTGTGTTTCTATCATCATAATGTGAGGAAATGGAAAGAAGAACCCATCCCTAAGCACCAAGACCCCTCCCCACACAATGGGGCTGGGACATCTCCATTCCTTTTTTTTTTTTTTTTTTTTGGAGGGCAAGGTTCTAAATTGAACTCAGGGGCACTTGACCACTGAGCCACATCCACAGGCCCTAATTCTATTTAGAGACAGGCTCTCACTGAGTTACTTAGCATGTTGCTTTTGCTGAGGCTGGCTTTGAACAGGTGATCCTCCTGCCTCAGCATCCCAAGCCACTGGGATTACAGGTATACACCATCAGACCCGGCAAGTCTCCATTCTTGATTTAGCTTTATGTTGCCCTGGGCTGTAGCTTCTTCCTTCCCTGCTGAAAAACAGAATCTGGATATTGATTTGTATTGGAAATTTGTGATGAGATGTTAATTAAATGATGGTGAAGGCGATCCCCCACTCACTGTCTTGACAGGGTCACAGTGAGAAAAAGTGCTGGCAAAGCCACTCTCCCACTGTCTTGACAGGGTCACAGTGAGGATGAATGCTGGCAAAGCCATGCTGGTTGGTGGGAAACTGAAACCATGAGACCCTTTTTTATGTAATTGGGACTTTGCATTTTCATGCTTATGTTTCTGATAGGAGGCATGAGTATGTTAAATGCCAAACAAATTAAATTTCAGATGGCTAGAATATAACAGGTAGTTCATGCCTTGGAGGCTGTTCTACTACCCCTCAGCATATCAAGGACAAAGTATAAGGCTGTTCTTCTATCTCAGTACATTGTGGACAAACCTGATAATGGACAACAATCATCCTTTGAAAGGTCATGAGAATTTTAGGCACCACATTGATTATATCAACTAGAACCCAAGCCCATATTTCCAGCCTCTTAGAAAATCTAATCAGTATGCTTATTTTACAAAGTTCACCACATGCAGTCTCATTTTTGATTAAGGAAAGTTATATTATACACTTAGGAAAGTTAAAACAAATAAAGATATATTCTTCTCTTTTTATAAACCCTTTCTTACTTTACATAGGGATATATGATGAGCATAGTTAATATTGGTGGAAAGTGGATTGATGTTTAGAACTTACTTTCTATTGAGAAAGATTATAAAGATATGAGAACTAGTGCACCTTGACTGAGAAACAAAGAAACTCTTTGAGAAAGCAGCTCAACCAGTTTTATGAGAATAAATTTAGGAATTAATTAAAATAGCTTTATAAGACACAGTTTTAGAATAATGTTAGAAATATTATTTTAGATAGTAGAGGGAACTGGGACCAAAGACAGAGCAGGCCCAGCGGCCTGCTGAGGGGCAGAGCCGCCCCCCACCCCCCTCGCCTGCCAGGTAGGGGAAGGGTGACCACCGACAGAAAAGGCCCAGTGGCCCAGGGCGGGACAGAGCTTCCAATCACTCCTGCAAGGTAGGCGGGCCTGCGACCCACCGGCAGAAGAGGAGCAGTCGCCTGCTGAGAGGCTGAGCTGCCCCCTCCCCCTGCGCCGGCATAGTAGAGAGAACTGGGACCAAACACAGAGCAGGCCCAGCAGCCTGCTGAGGGGCAGAGCCGCCCCCCACCCCCCTCGCCTGCCAGGTAGGGGAAGGGTGACCACCGACAGAAAAGGCCCAGTGGCCCGCGGCGGGACAGAGCTTCCAATCACTCCTGCAAGGTAGGCGGGCCTGCGACCCACCGGCAGAAGAGGAGCAGCCGCCTGCTGAGAGGCTGAGCCGCCCCCTCCCCCTGCGCCGGCATAGTAGAGAGAACTGGGACCAAACA